TATGCAAGGCTACCGCATTCATTAACTCACAGCAGCTGTGGTTGCCTGCACAACATCAGGCCAGTCAACATTCTAGCAAGAAGTAGAAATGGTTTTTGAGCCTCTACTCTTAACTGGGGTACTGTGGAGAATTGATGGCTTCTGGGGTTTTATTTATGGGCGTGTCTCCTGGTAGGTTGGCCATGCTCCAGGCCATGCCCTATATCAGAAGTATATGAACATGCAAATTGGTGTTGATGAGTCATTAATAAAAAGAAAATGATACAAAATGGGGAGGTGGGGGGACCTGGTCTTATAGGAATTAAGGGGAAGAATTGGCAGTGAACATTATCAAAACACATCCTATGAAATTCTCAAGGAATTAAAACAATTTTTTGAAGAAGCTGAGTCCTCTTTTGCCATCCACGATGTGACTTGTAACAAATAACTCTACTACACTCAGTTTCTTCATTTGTTATGTGGATATCAAGTTTATTCTATGCAAAATATGACTACTGTGAAGTTTATTTGAAATAAAAATTTAAAGAATTTAGCATGGTATATAGTAAGCACTTAAAATGATAGTTATTATTTAAAATCTGAGGAAGTCAATTGGGCTTATTCTCACTTGTTTAAAAATAATTATTTAGTTTTATGTTATATGTATGAATGTTTTGTTTGCTGTGTGAATGCAGTGCCTGCAGAGATTAGAAGAGGGCATTAGGTTCTCTAGGTCTGAAGTTACAGATTGTAAATTACCACATGGGTGATGGGAACCCAACCCAGTCCTCTGAAAAAGTAGCAAGTGCTCTTACCTGCGGAGCCGTCTCTCCATCCACATATTCTCATTTCTTCACAGGTAAAGCATGTATATTTCCTACAACCTTACCTTGCGTCTTCCAAGAGCTAGTAGATAGCAACCATTTTAGATAAATAAGAATCAGATTTTTTTTTAAACATGCATGCTTGATTGGATCCAGTCTGTGAATTTTTATCTTCTTATCTATCATGGCCTGTGATACAATGTATCAGTTGAATGAAAACACAGCTACAAGAAAGAGGGCACTCTTGTGCAATGTCTGTGACCAACAAGGCAGTGGCTGGAATTTCTCTACAGACAGGTGCTTAGGACTCGAAACCGTGACAAACTCTATACTTGTTCATAGATTAGAACGACCTTAATTCTACCCAGGAAAAACCTTTCAACTGACTCCTAAAGTGTGAATTATAACAAGTATATGAAAATAACAAGCAAAGTAAACCTACACATGGATTGGCTTTCTGCCTTCAATCTCTATGCAGTCAAGGAGACCCTTCTAAGAAATAGCTAGCACTGTCTTAGTTTACTCTCCACTGCTTTAATAAAACACCATGAGCAAAAGCAAACTGCAGAGGAGAGGGTTTCTTTCAGCTTACAATACATAGTCTGGAGGCAGTAATGTGAAGGCCATGGGGGAGTGCTGCCTACCAGCTTGATCAGACTGTTTCTTTATATCACTCAGAAATGATGTCACTCACAATGAACTGGGCCCTCCCACATCAATCGCTAATCAAGAAAACACACCATAGATTTGCCTACAGACCAATTTCATGGAGGCATTCATTTCCTTACTCGAAGTTCTTCTTTTCTAAAGGACTCTAGCTTGTGTAAAATAGACAGAAGTTAACAAGCACCAGCATTTCATCTTACTATTACTCGAATATTTATTTAAAATAACTCAGTGAAATGGTTTTTACTTCTTTTCTGATATATGCATGTGTGATGACTAATAACAGCAAAAACACCCTCTCAAGTGATTGTTCTCTCTCTTCTATGAGTAGATCCCTTCAGGACACTGATGCTCAATGGTAGAAGACAGATCAAAGGCACCCAAGTAGTATACTTAAGAGTTATTAGGAACCAGAAATGGATTCAGGAACCAATCCTGGATTTAAAATAACATTTCCAACTCTTACTTTTATTTTGCCCTGAGAAAGATAGTTATCACTTTGTAATATTCAGGATTAATGTTTGCACAGAAAACATATTTGATCTTTGCTCTGTTGATATGTTGCTATCACTACTCCCCTGTCACTATTATTGGGGTGAGGGGGGAGATGATTGGTGGGGTCTGGTTGGGCACAGTGCATAGTCTGGTGGTCTGGGGCACAGCAAGATGACTATGACTGACAGTAATTAATAGAATACTTTAAAAGCTCAAGTAGAGGAACTTTATAATGTTACCAGAGCAATTTTTTTCCTGAGTGTTTGAGGTGGAGGCTAACAAAGTTACCACAATCCAATGGCCCCACTTTGTAAAGGCTTGGAAACCTCACACTAAATTTGTAAGTATGTATAACCACTATGTATCAATTTAAAACACTTTTGTCACATTCTGTGTCAGCATTGCTTATTTGTGGCTAAGGTTCATTTTGTTACATAGTGTTTAGGAAAGGTTGCCTAGAGACAGCAGGAGAACAAGGCCAGGCTTTTGTTCATTGTCTTTCATTTGAATGAGGACTTGCAGAAAGTGGTCCAAGTTCCAATCTATAACACATTGTGGGGTGAGAGGGTAAATGATGACGGCTGGCAGAGAAATGCCTCAGCACTCTAGGGAGAACCCATCTAGGCTTTGACAAAATGGAAACATGAAAGAGCAGAAATGCAAGACTCAGCCTCATGGGCTCTCATGGGGACTGGGAGACAACAGGGGCTTGTAGATCTCAGGAGCAGTTGGTATATTAGTCAACTTCCATCATTATGAGAAAGTACTTGAGACAGTAAAATTAGCAAGGAAATGGTTTGTTTCCATCTATGTACTCTTAGGCCCATGGCAACCCACTCTATCATGGTGGGGTATGTAGCAGTTGGAAACATGGAGGGGTAGGCGTGGAGAACAGGGTTCCTTCAACTGTGCTCCACCTGCTACAAGTTCCATGATTTCCCAACAGTGCCACAATCCCAGCTTTAACATGAGGGACTTTGGGCAGAAACTTCAGATTTAAACTATAGCCATTATTAGTGTCTGAAGAGTCACTGAAATTGTGTGTGTGTGTGGCGGGGGGTGGGAGATCTTTGGAACCTGGCAATCAGGACAAAATGGCAGATGAGGTCCAGACCCTGCTGTCAGCTGACATTGGCTTGTGTTGCTTGGCTGGGGAAGGCAGGCACTGAAGAAAACCTTGGTTGGAAGAGTGAGCGAGCATGACTTGTTTTTTTTTTTTTTTTAACTCTGTCTATGCACTGGCACTGTGCCAGCCTTTTCATTTGTCTCTCTGCTTAATTCTCATGACCTTGCATGAAGTAGATATTCCCATTTCTCAGGTTAAAAATTGAGCACATGCAGATCATCACAAGATTCACTAATGTTCCCCCCTTTTTTCTCTAATATTTACTATGTATGGGTATTTTAAACTTGGAATGGCTTTATTAACATCAGAAGAACTGATGTTGGCAAAAGACACTCCAAGGTCAAGTTCTCAACACAAAGGAGATTTATTTGCTCCAGAAGCACAAAGGACAAGGAATAAGGAATAAGAGACAAAGACAAAGGATGTAGAGGACCAGGTAGAAGGAGAAAACAAACAAACAAACAACCACACACACACACACACACACACACACACACACACGTATTACATATAAGCTATAGGGATTTATGTACTCTAAAATATCTTAACAGATATGTACAGTTCTGGAGGCTGGAGAGATAAAGAGTACTTACTGTTCTTTCAGAGGACCCAAGTTCATTTTCAGCATCCATATCAGGTAGCTACCTGTAGCTCTACCTGCAGGGAACCCAGCACCATCTTCTTTCCTCTCACATGCATATATGCCCCCCACAGAAATACACAATACATAATTTTAAATGAAATAAATGTTTTAAAAAGATGAGCCCATTATTTTACAAAAGAAGCTCAAGTTAATATATTTTTAGTATCCACTTCCTGCTTCCATATGCAAACAAATGTTCTTTTATATAGTGTATATATATATATATATGATATGTATATTTTTCATTTTTTGATTTTATTTTATATTCCAACCACAGTTCTCCCTCTCACCCCTCCTCCTACCCCCTCATCTCCCTCTCTAGCTCATCCCCAGTTCACTCCTCCTCATGGGTAAGGGCTCCCATGAGGAGTCACCATAGTCTGGTACAATAGGTTGGGGCAGGGCCCAGGCCCTCTCCCATGCATTAAGACTGAACATGGCATCCTACTATAAGGTACTGAAATTATATCAAATGTACCCCATTTTTAATTGGGTTATTTTGTATTTTGATATCTAGATTCTTGAGTTCTTTATAAATTTTGGAGGCTAGCCCTCTGTCAGATGTGGAATTGGTGAACATCTTTTCCCATTCTGTAGGCTACTGTTTTGTCTTATTGACTGTGTTCTTTGCCTTACATAAGCCTTTCAGTTTTAGGAGGTCCCATTTATTGATTGTTGCTCTCAGTGTCTGTGCTACTGATGTTATAGTGAGGAAGTGGTCTCCTGTGCCAATGAATTCCAGGCTGTGCTGTTTCCTACTTTCTCTTCTATCAGGATATTTTTTCTTTTTTTCTGAATCCAATGCCTTTTAGTTTTATTTGACGATGAACAGACAAGATTAACACTCCCAGCAACTCCACTGACTTTTGTTCACACTTCTGAGAAGCAAGGTTTAGCCCCTCGCTTCATGGCCATGCCTCAGCACAGGAGCCCTGTTCTTCAGGGTCACAGGACATCAGCACCCATGCAGCCTCCTGACCACGCCAGACTGTCAGGACTCGGCTGAGATGGAAGCCATGGCTTGTCTGTCAGGGGACGGGACTCTAAGACACATCTCAGAAGATGCCACCGCGCCTGGTTCCGGACGGAGTCCTTGCCAAACCACGCACAGGCAACACTAGCCCTCGCCCCTGTGGCCCTGGTCTTACTTTTCAGAGTTGCACTTAAATTAACAATAGAGGACTCCATCAGAACACCAGACAACCCCCACATGGAGCCTAGATTTGAGAAGACATAAGCTGGGAGGCAATTTTTAGAATCGTAAGGATGGGCAGCGGGAAATCACCCTAAACCTCTATCCTAGCTCAGAACTGGGGTAGGAGGGGAAGAAGGAACAGCATGCTTTGCACAACTTGACAATTCTGTCGGGGAGTCCCCAGGATCACTAGTATCCAGGGCTCCCCTACTTCCCAGAGAGCTGCTCATACAGCTTGGGCACATAGTCGTCCCACTCTGCCTGGTAACAGGTGCCCGCCACCGGGGCTCCCAGGTGATACTTCTTTCGGAAGGCCGCCACCTTGAACTTGCTGCGGTGATCTCCTGACCTGTTGCTGAGGATGGGTTCGTCACAGTTCAGTGGCTTGTCCTGCTCGTATACAAGCCAGACATAGCGGTGGAGGCCTGTACCACTGGGAGGCCCGGAGCCCACATAATCTGAGAGGACCTTGCCGCTGCCGATGTCATTGCCCTTCATGTTGGCCACCAGAAAATGGTGCCACTCCCTGAATTTGGGGTCCTTCCTGCTGGGAGCGTCCGGGTCTGTGAGGACCAGGGTGTAGAGTTTCCCTGGGTCAAGACCATCCCATGAGATGCTGCTGGGCCTATTCTTAACCTGGGTGGGCGTCAGCACTTTGCCCAGCTCGTCCACCTCCACCCTGGCGTAGGCGACCCGCAGCGCGTGCTGGGGACGCTCGTCCACCTCCTGCAGGCACAGCGGCCCGGACCACTGGCTTATGTTGGCCGGCATGGCGACAACGAGCAGGATATTTTTTCTAATACTAATTTTTTATAGACACTGCAACAACATTTATTTATTTATTTATTTATTTATTTATTTATTTATTTATTTTGTCTTTGTTATAAAAGAACTAAGTGCCATTCCTATGGTCTATGAGCACTGAGCAGCCACAGGTTTTTCTAAAGCCCACGACAATCAGATCAAGATAGGATATCTTTTAAATATCCATGCATATATAGGGCACCTCACTTTAGGTATGAGACTAATTTCTAAAAAAATGGCTGGAAAATGGACTTTTACAAACTGATTGTATATAAATCTTACCTTTCTCAGGGAACCTATAATCAATTCTGCTATGGGGGAAAACACAACAACGCATTCACTTTTACATCTTGAAATCTGGACTTAGCTATGCTTTCATGCACATCCTGATGGCATTGGGGACACACACACACACACACACACACACACACACACACACACACACACACAAAGAAAAGGTTAAAAGATATTCCCTTGGATGAAAACTCCTTATAACAAGGGATAAATAACATAGAAAAATTTATTTGAATAAGAACTAAAAAAAATTGTTTCAGTGAGGTAACCCAGTCACAAAAAGACAAACATGGTATGTACTCACTCACATATGGATTTTAGACATAGAACAAAGGATCACCAGCCTACAATTCACACTGACTGAGAAGCTAGGATACATGGAGGACCCAAAGAGAGTCATACAAGGTCCCCCACAGAACGGGAATGGGACAAGATCTCCTGAGCTTATTGAGACGGGGGGAGGGAGGACAGTTAGTGGAGAGGGAGTTAGGAGAAAGAGAAGGGGAGAAGAGAGGAGAATGTGAGGGACCAGGAAGATTGAGTCAGGGGACAAATAGATGAGAGTAAGAAAAGAGATACCATAACAGAGGGAGCCATTATAGGTTTGAAGAGAAAACTGACTCTAGAGAAATGTCCAGAGACCTACAAGAATGACCCCAACTAATAATTTGAGCAATATTGGAGCGGTACCTTAAATGTCCTTTCTTGATAATGAGATTGACAACTACCTTATATGCCATCCTAGAGCCCTCATCTAGTAACTGATGGAAACAGAAGCAGTTAAACACTGAGCCAAATGCCTGGAATCCAGATGCAGAGAGGGAGGAGTGATGAACAAAGGGGTCAAGACCAGGCTACAGACCACAGAGACAGCTGACCTGAACAAAGGGGAACTCATGGACCCCAGACTGATTGATAGCTGGGAAGCCAGCATTGGACCGACTCAGACCCCCTGGGCATGGGTCTCAGTTAGAAGACATGGGCAGTCTAAGGGACCTCTGACAGTAGAATCAGGATGTACACTGGTGCACAAAAGGACTTTGGGAGCACATTCCCCATGGAGGGATACTCCCTTAACCTAGAGGCAGGAGGGAGGGCCTAGCCCTACCCCAAATGAGTTGACAGATTTTGATGATCCCTCCTGGAAGGCCTCATCCTCCCTGGGGAGTGAGTGGGAAGTGGGATGGGAGGGAGGTCGGGGGCATGGGAGGATGGGAGAACTGGGATGGATATGTAAAATAAGAAAAAATAATAAAAAAAAGAGAGGGAGGAAGAAAGAAAAAGCTGTTTCAAAAGGAAGAGGTGATAAAGAGGCATTGTACACAGGGCAATGAATCTATTCTCAGGGTAAATGCAAACTAATGTAAGTTAAGTTATGTTAGTGAAGTGTAAAATCAATTCTACAGCTAGTTTCAAAACACATTTTTTTTTAAACCACAAAAGGGCATACTGTTATCTAAAATGCAAAATAAACCCACCAAAAAGAGCACAGCCGAGAATGAGAAATCAAATGAATGAAGTATTTTAGCTATCAAATAAATGGGTTCAGTGCTTTTAGCTTCCCTTTCATGGAAATTGGCAAGACATCAGTAGTACTAATCCTGCAAATGTATTTGCTTCAAACAGGTTGAGGCAGCTACATTTTATAGGCCAGCATGAAAAGAAAAACAATCATAGGAATGGCATAATTACAAGGTAATAAAAATGTAAACACCATCAGTGCATTAATTTTGTATTTGGGGGTTTTATCCATGGTTGGCCTAACAAGTTATAACTCTAAGGTTTTGATTACAAAGTCATTAATTAAAACCTTTCTCACCTATGATCCTAATTCATGCATATATTGGATTTGATTATTTTTATAGGGGATTCATATAATTGGCCATTGAAAAAAATAGGGGATTTAGAAGGATTATTTTTTTTAAGAGAGAGAGAGAACAGGTGGGGAGAGAAGTAACTGCTACATTGAACTTTCTAGATACAATGAATCCATTGTCAGGTATAACTGTTATTGTTCTTTTTTATTGTTCTTTTGAGGTCATTGGTGGTCTCCCCTTGATTTCTATTAAGCTTGCAGTCCTATTGAGAGTCAACTGCATGATATTGACCAGTCATTTTTATTCTCCCACTCAATTTTCTTGCCTGTAAAATGGAGATAATAATGCTGCTTCCGACAGCTGTTCTAAAGGGAAGGGATTGTGCTAAAGGGCTGTACATAGTGCAAGACTCAATAAATGCCATTTAAGGCTTTAACGCTTGAAGAGAAAGCTGGAACGAGAGAAAGGAGCCTCAGTTTAATCCTGTTATACAGTACCTTGTTCATATGGTCAAGGGCCAGCTCTTTGTAAGAGAGTTGGCTCCTGAATTAATGTCATCAACAACAGAAACAAAGTGAGCTCAGTTGCTGGATACAGAGTAGAAAGATGAGTCCTTGTGTGGAGGTGTAAAGTAGTGTGTGGGTGTGTGCTTATGAGTTGAAACAGAAGTAGACATTTAAATAAGAATGAAGTCAAATAAGCTATGTAGATTACAAAAAGAATTCATAGTGGCCATTTCTGTAACCGAGGAATACATTTTCAGTAATGAATGTTGAGGGACCTCAATGATACAAGCTGTGTGGTTCTGGTGTACATGAGTGCCAAGGCTGACAGACAGATCCTTATGATAATGCTTACGTAGAAAGCTGGTTGCCCTGGGCATTAGGCTCTGGACTTCTCTCCTACTTTAAGACATCTACTCCATTTCACCTAGCACTGTGGAGTTTTATCACCTTTAAGTCAAGTTTGTTGTAGTGGAAAGCCTCAGCAAAGAGTACTCACACAGTCACATGCCTGGAAAGGCTTCATTCTGCAGTAGTCACAGTGTATAGCAGAGTGCTGCACACTTGAAGAAGACCTTGTGTTCATCCAGGTTCCCCACAGAAACAGAATCAATAGAATCTTCTCAGTAGAATGCTAAAGAATTATAAAGAAGGGGAAACATCCAGTGGAAAATTTAAGAGCATATTAGGAAAGGCAAATCAAACAAAGTAGACAGAAGATATTGTTTGAACTATTGCCAGATACACTCCTCACCTCCAGACTACTGGTTTCCAATGACATCCAGCCCCAGTAGAGAAAAGGGCAGGAAATTCCAGTAGAAGTAACTCATAAGAACTTTGAAGATAAGCAGTGCACAAAACAATCGGCGTCATATTAACCAAACAATAGATGAATATATCTTAGTAGGTAACCCAGAAAGATTCAGTATAGTTAACCTAAAACATAGGATCCACAAATCATCAGCCAGTTTCTTAAGCCGGTGACACAAAATGAAAGGGGACATCTAGTTCCCAGGAGTCCAAATGTGAATGTATGCACACATTTATTTTTTTATTGGTGTCACTGAAACATGCCTTTTTACTTCTTTAGGCTTCAATTTCTATGTGAGTGAGGTAGTAAAGATGTACTAAATACTGTGCAAAGTTCTTTCCATCTTACATTGCATGGTGCCATGGCTTGATTTTCCATTCCTTTTCTTTTTATTGAAAAGTAGTAACTTAAAATATTGTGTACAGACTGATGGCTAAAAGTCCCCTGGAGACCTTTGTAAAAACACATATTCTTAGGCTCTGTTTCTAGAAATACTGATTCGGTGTGTCTAAGATGAGGTTCAAGAACCAGTATATCTTTTAGGTTTTCCAAACACTTCTCACTCTAGCAGACAGCCAGGCTTGGAAACCATTTCACCAAATTGCAGCAGCCAGGAATAAAATCAGCATTGCCTATTCACAGAAAAACACTTTTGCTTGCTTCCGTTTATAACAGGGAATCTGAAAGTTTGTTGCTGTGACAAAAACATGGCAGTACTCGACACCTTGGTTCCATCTTCCTCTTGTCAGGCAGCTCTGTGTCTTTGGAGTCTTTTCAACCCTGGGCTCTCATAAGTCCCTTTGTCTCTGTGTGTCCTTGGTGAAACAAAATCATCCCTAAGCTTTCCTACAGCCCTCATAGTGCTTGTCATCTGCCTGTCCCCACCCATATCACTTTTGGCAAGAATTGGCTCATGTGCTCATTCATAAGCAAGTTACTGGAAAGGGACTCTTTATTTATTTATTTATTTATTTATTTATTTATTTATTTATTTATTTATTACCAAGATCAGTGGTTCTGAGGCTTGGTTGTACATTAGCATTGCCTGGGTAATTTTTCTTTTTTTACCTGTAACTATCTGCCTTTAACATTCTGAATTTGTGATTCAATTGGCCCGGGGTGTGGCTAGGGCATTCAGAGTTCAAAAGTTTCTGAGGTACTTCTTACATCTGACCAAGTTTGAAAGCCACTGTCCTAGATTAATCATCCAGGGTGGAATGCTGCTGAGGCATCAACTACCATGACCACAGAAATCCTCAAAAACTCCCTTAAGCAAACGAGCATTTACCTTTATTTACCTTTTATCATGGTTGCATTCATTGAGGAAGCATACGGATTTCCCAGGTAAGAGCAATCTGACAGTTTTGTTGACCCTTAAATTTGTATTTTCTATCACACTCTGCCTATCCCTGTATCTGGAGTCAGAGTTGAAAGGAACAGAAGTCACAGAGTAACACTGTTGCTGACTCTATGCCCCAGACCAACTAAATCACAATTTCAGGATGTTAAATGCAGATAGTCCCAAGAAAAAAGAAAAAAATTCCCAAGCAATG